ATCGAAATGAACGGCTGCGCTGCAAACGAGCCCTTAGGAAAGCTCATAAAAGCATGTTTTGACACTAGACTAACTAATGAAAGATTAATTGTGTCAATATAACTCCGTTTTGTTCACAGTGGGGCAGTCAGGCTGGAGGACGTAAGAGGAAGCTGTCCCAGGACGCGAGGCTGAGCTTCTGCTTAAAGGGTTATTTACAGATCCAACGTGGCGAGAAGTTTTCATTTTGAAAACCAGGCTTTTTCCAAACCTAAGAGAAACGAGGAGTTTAATTTTCTATAGAAGCGCTACAAACCACAGCCTTTACATGCAGTGGTTGCAACATTGAACAATACTCTGAGAAGGAAAATACTAAAGGAATATGAAATACTAAAGGAAAAAAAAAAAACTGGCTGCTTTTTAATCCCAATCAAAAGGTGCACAGTAGCCTCTTATTGCCTCTCTCATAAACAGCATGTCTGTGCGTGCGTACTTGTGAAAGGAGTAAAGTTTCTTTTCCTTTCAATAGCGGCAGGTAACCTACATGAGAAAGCTTATTTACAACTTTTAATGCTTCTTTTCATGATTTTCTTCAGTCACTTTTAGTAAAAGCTAGCAGTCATGGTAGGAAAAATACGCCAGCCATAAAACCCAGTGTGAGAGATGTTATATAAAGGCACCAAACAAGCATTCACCACCTCTGGCTCTGCACCTCTGCTGTCTGCCCGGCCCCCCTGGACACGGGACCCTCTGAAGTGCCCAAACACTGATCATAAATCTCGTGTCTGGCACGGGACGGGCGCTCCTGCGCCACTCAGAAGGCTTTTGAAAAGCTGCTACAGCCTGAGCACTTTGGAGCCCTACCCGGCGGGGATGTGGAACCCTTCCCTGCAGAAGTATTCGGACCAAAAATTCGTGACCGTGTAGGAGATGCTCGGTCTGTGGAAGGCTGTGGCTCGGGAGGAGAGGGGAAACTACTGCACCCTCGGTCCTCATGCAGACGGCAACAGGAGTAACCCTAACTACTTGGAAAGCACGCAGACACTGCTGGGGTCCCTCAGCCAACACTGTAGTGGGCTGCCAGCAAGATCTCACCTTGTGGAAGAGAATCGGACACTGTAAATGTTTCTCCTATTAAAAAAAAAAAAAAAAGTGGTGACTTTTCCCCAAAGATGACGACTTAGGCTGCATGGAGACTCCTACTCTGCTGAGAGCCACATGGGTGTGAGCCTGGGGACAGCTCACTCCAAAACACGCTTCCAAGAAACTGTCCAATTGAGATGGACCCAGCCTGACTCCTGCCACCCTTCACAGTCTTCCACTGCACCTTTGCATCAACCAGCCCCCCGGTACGCTCTCACACCACAGGACAGCAACATGTGGTTTCATCCTGGAAGATCATAACTCAATCATGAAAAAAAATACGCAAAATAGTAAGTGTGATTCAGGGCCATGTAACACCCAGAAAAGAGCCAGAGCCAAACTCCACAACGTGTGGCTTCAGCCTGTCTGCCCTGGCAGCAGCTAGTCCTGCATAGCACAGGTACAAGCCCCCAGCCCCACTACATGCCAAATGGACCAGTCCCTGCCCTCTCTTCTTTAGCCACAGAGACCATAGCCCATGTACCCCAGCCCTCCTGAAACTGATACAAGGTGACCTTTACCAACACAGGGCTTGGGAACTGGAAATTCCCACTGGCTGTAATTTCATTCTATAGTTGCTCATAGAAGCTGTAAAATCCCCATCCTTGGAGATGCTCCAAGCGTGACCAGCTACCACCCTGAGCAGCCTGATCGAACCTTGAAGTTGAGTCTGACTTCAAAGCCAGCCCAGCTCTGTGTGCAGGGCTGGACCAGACAACCTCCAAAATTTCCTTCCAACCTGAAATACTCTGATTTTATTTCACTGACAACTGACTGGAAGGCAAGCGGAATCATCCTACAGGCTTTAGCAAGCCTGAAACACTCCAGTGAAGAATCATAGAATGGCTTGGGTTGGAAGGGACCTTAAAGATCATCTAGTTCCAACCCCCCTGCCATGGGCAGGGACACCTTCCACTACACCAGGTTGCTCAAGACAGACTTCATGCTAGAGAGAAGAAAGCAAACAGAAGAACAGACAAGCTAATGAGCACTGCAGGACAGGGAGAAAGATTGTACGGATGTATGTAGTCTTTACACTGTTCAGAGACTGAAAAAAAAATAATCTTAAAATAATAAATCGCAGAAGCTACAGTTTAGTATCCAAGGGAGAAAAATGGGCTATCCACACAGATGGATCTTCCGGAATGACCAACTGGCACAAACACGCCCCTGATGAGAACTTGTTGGCTGGGTCAATGACACGAAGGAGACAATCTTACTTTAGCATCAAATAAAGCATCTGAGATTTATGTAGCTCAGCACATGCTGCAATACTCCATCTCCAGAACCTGACACTTGTACAAAGCTGCATACCAGAGTTAAAACTCCCCTCTTTTTCCAAAGCTGCATTTCCCATGTTCGTGGGTATCAAGATACTCTGGCAAGCACAGACCACGGTTTGACACGGTGTTGGTTTCCAGAATTTATACCCTGAAAGGATAGATCAATGTGCAAATTCATTTCAGCGGGATGCTACCTTAAAATCTAAAAAGGCCAACTGATTTGCTGCCTTTTGCAGCAGATAAAGTGCCTTTCCCACAGTTTCAAACAGCTTCCACTCACCGAGATATCAAAAGTGCCAACGGCTCCACTGAACTGTCATGGGCTCTAGTTCCCCATCATTCCTACAAGACAGCAAAGTCAGTACAAATACTGCGGCATATCAAAACCTGAAAGCATAGAGACAAAATGAAAAAAAGTTTGCATTTAATTGCAGAAAGGCTAGGTTACCAGTTGCATTATTCATGTTCATATTTAATTCATTTAAAACATCCAAATCTAAATTTAAAGACAGCTGCAACAAACATTCCCACTTGCCACAGCAGAGCAGCGCAGAACTTGACACAACTGAAGTTCAGCTTGCGCTGAGCACACGGGCCAAGGCTGTTAAACACCTTTGATACGAGTAAGATCACATCAACTGAGCTGATACAAACTAGTTCAGCGTTTGTAAAACGAAACGATCACAGAAAGGAGGATTTAAAAGACTAGACCTGATTAGTAATAAAAAGGAGGGAGACCACAGGAGAGGCATCTAAAATAATGAATAGCACGAAGGGAGCGAACTGGGGACTCCAAATTATCCCCTCCACAGTGCAGCAGGGTAAACTTGTAATACTAAAAAAAAATTATGCATATTCCAAGGAGAAGGAAATTTTGTTTATTGGGAACTAACAGACATGCAACTTCTTCTCAGAGGATGTTATCAAGACAAGTAAACAAGTAACACTAAAAAAGGACAAAGACACTCAAAAGCAAACTGGCATTTACAACTGCATCAAAGTACACAGGCCATTGGTACTCACACCTCAAGCAAAAGCTGACTGAAAGGGGGGTGACCAGCCCAATCCTGCCCACCACATTATCACATTAACGGCTGCTTTTTGGCAAGGAAGAGCCAAGCACTTGCCCTGCTGCCAGGCTGCCAGCACCAGGTCACAGCCAGAGGCAGGACACCAGTTTAAGGCACGGTTCTGTTAGCACCCCACTGACCAGGTTTACACTGAGATTTAACAACTCGGATGTATCTTCCTTTTTCTTGTTCAAAAATAAAGGCAGCACAGAGGCAGCCAGGGCTGGGAAGAGCATCCCAGGGCATCCCAGCTCAGACTGCCACCCTTCCGGGCAGCCGCACCGCACAACCCTCGGCACAAATATCGCCAAACTGCATCTTAATCTAATTAAGTTCTCCCCCCTCACTGCTCTTACCAACAGGCTCTTCCAAAAGCTCATCCTTATCATCCCTAAGGGGAGAACGATTCAATTTACCTGTGCCAGATTGGAAGGCACCTTCAGGGTTACAGCGTAGCCTGTTCCGCAACATTCTTCCACTAAATGCTGCAAACGCAATGTCAGTAAAACAAAAAGTGAGAAAATGTGGGTGGAAGATGCTGTCACAGCTATACAGACCTCATAAGATGCATGTAATCTCTTTATCTACAAAGCCTGCACTCCTTCAGAGCGCATAATTATGAAAAGAGTTAAAGCTGAGGTTCTTAATGTCTCTTCTAGGCACTTCTTTATTCCACTAAAGGCACCACTCACATCTGAATTATTTCCTGGGGTTGTTTGGACTTCCTATTATACAAGGAAGATTATG